TTCAGCCATAATAATACTAGATTAGCTATAAGAATAGAATACAAAAAATTTTGAAAGATTTAGTACAAAATCAAAGGTTCTCTATATAAGTGAACTGCTTTAAAAACTTAATAGCTATAACATATATTCATCAGCATCAGCTAGAGTCATTAGTAGACAAAAGTAAGTAAGTGGATATGCAAACTAGAGTGTTTAAATAAAGAACCTACAAGCAGATTTCAGGTATAACAACTAGTGTAGAATCTTTAGGCAGATTACTTAAATTAGAAAATGTCTAAAGTTATATAAATAACTAGTTGTACATTTTTCATAGTTGCTTTTTATGATTGTAATACAATTATTAGTCAAATATACTATTAATAGAATCTTAATATTTAAAAAAAACAAACTTTTTTTTAATTAATAAAAAAATTTTATATTATAAATAAAATATTTATTTACTATAATAAATTTTTAATAAGTGTGGGTTCTATAGCTTAGTGGTTAAGCTCCTATACCATCCACAGTCAAAATCAATAGTTCAAGTTTGGCTGAAGGCAAAATTGAAAGATTTTAGCTTCTGTAACCTAATAAGAAGCCTGTAATTGAATGCGAAGCCCTGTGGTTAAGTCCAAGTGCAGTACAATAATGGAAATAGGAATTCCTAAAAGGAGATCTAATCATGGAGTATAGGCACTATATGTAACAAACAGTTGTTACAGAAGGTTACAGTTATGAAAAGATTGCACATATAAGTTCTTTCGGCTAGGGCAGTACTAACATCCTTATACCTCCTAATATAGGCAGTACTAACATCCTTGCACTTAACTTGTATGATACTTGCTTGGAAAGATAATCAATAGATTGTGCAAATAAGTTTTAATTAGAATTCAAAGAGAGGATTTGATTAGGAGAGTATTCTGAAAGTAACTAAGACTGGAATAGTGAGAGAAGCAGTAAACATGAGGATGGACTGTAATAAAGAATTGGTCTAACCAAAAATTAGAAACACCTCTGTCATAGCTAAATAATCTAATTATAGAAGAGAAAAATCTTGAAGGTTGGTGTATAACTTCTTTGTGCAATATAAAAGTACCAAATCGAGTTTCTGATTATACCTATATGGAAGTCTATGACGAACAAGACTGGAATTAACCAACTAATGTGAGATAAGATCTGCAAGATAGTATGGCATTACTGGGGTCAGTGTAACTCCCTGGAGCATAACCAAAATTGTTTTGCAGGTACTATCGAATAAGCTGAGAGCTTGTAATATATAGTAGTATGATATTACTAGGGTCAGAGGAACTTCCTAGGTATAACCAGAATTGTTCTGTTTGTAAGCACAACAAGTCTTAGTCTCTATCATAAAAGAGAGCACTACATTAAAGATTAAATGCAGCATTGAGTTACTGTATGATGTTAAGATCTGAGGCATTTGCAGGAACAGCAGCAGCAGACCTGGCTTGAGATATGGATTGGTTAAAAAGACCAATAGCAGCAGCAGATCTGGCTTGAGATACAGGTTCTTTGCAGATCCTAGACTATTGTCAGAACATCTTAGAGGAATCAATAATAGGCATACCAAAGATATGAAGATTATAAGGATCAAACATACCCAAGTAGAACCAATTTGGGAATAGTACATTAACAAAAAAGTGAGAAATGTAGAGAACAAGATAATACTAGATATAGTTAGATTAAGAGGCAGAAGAAACAAGACTAAGTAAAACATGTGACTGAGACATATAAATATGATTTACAAAAGACAGTACTTCTGGCATTTGGGATATCATATTAAGTTTGATAGATATTTTTGTCTATGTAGTAGTTTAATGGTATGCCCTGACCATAAGTAGTTGTTAAGATAACTATATGCAGGCATGTAACAGATATGCACTTAGGTGCCATATAAGTAACTGAGTGAAGTTAGTAATGTAAAATTAGATAGTATATAGTACTAATAATAATTAATTCTATGTAACTGTAAATTTGTACTATATCAAATTAAAGCTAATAAACCAACTAGTATTGTTATCAAAGTTCAAAAAAAAAATAATAATAATAATAAAATTTTAAACTATTATATTATTTTAAAAAATATATTTATTTATATAATAAAATTTATTTTATTTTATTTTTTTTAAAATATTAAGGTGAGTACTTATAACTTAGAATTTTTTTGTTAGTATATTTGGTTAATAGTTGCATTATAACTACAAGAAGCAATCGTAGAAAGAGTGTACAATTAGCTACTTATGCAACTTTAGTTATTGTCTAATTTAAATAATCTGTCTAAAGGTTCTATACTAGTTGTTATATCTGAAACCTACTTAAAACTTTTTTATTTAAACATTCTGATTTCTGTATTCACTTATCTACTTCTGGTTACTAATAGTCTTAGCCAATGCTAATGGAAATATGCCATAGTTATTAAGTCTTTAAAGCAGTTTATTCTTATAGAGAACCTTTGACCTTATACTAAACCTTTTAGAATATTTTGTATTCTATTCTTATAGCTAACGTGGTAACACTATAGCTAAGACCAACACTAGCAGTCAGAACATATCATTAAACTACTATGCTCTTATAGAGTTTATTTCAATTCCAGTACTAACTTCACAATATATCTCTATTACTTTGATATTCAATTTAAGTTTTACCAAGCTTTTAGACCAAATAACCTAAAAAGATAAATTATAATTATATCTTTGGTTTATATATTTTTTAACATATAATCTTTTTCTTTAAAATTCAAAAATTTTGATGGTCTGGCTGATTTTATTTAGTTTCTTCTCAAAGACTAACTTTTTACCTAATTTCATAAATTTTAGCTCTGTTTTATAGATTTAGTCTTTACAATAATATTGTTAAAAGTTCAGACTATCTCTTTACTTAGGTCTTCTAAGTAGGCTTTTATCTTCCTACTTGGTTCTTGTGATTTATAGGTCTAAGAACTTATTATAAATTTATACAATTTGGTATCAGGTTGTGTTCTTTTATACAATATTGTATAAATGTCTAGTTCTTCTAATCATGCTAATATAATATAGGTTACAAGTATCTAATCTCAACCAATCACAAAAAACAATTAATCATAATACAGAAAGAATTGCAAATTTTTATCATTACTGAAATTTGAACTCTAGACCTGTCACTTAAGAATTAACAACCTATTTACTTCATTAGATTACTATACTCCTTAATAAAATTTATTTAAATTAATTAAAATAATATAAGATTAAATTTTTTTTTTTGCTTTTGCTAAAACTATTGTTATTGATAACTACTGCTTTTATTGTATTTTTAATTATAATTACATACCTTGTATAAAATAAGTGTGTAACTAATTATATATGTAACTTTTACTTATCTATTTAAATAATCTATTTACAGATTTTATACTAACTGTCATACTTGTAATTTGCTAAAAAAAATCCAATTAAACATCTTGATCTTTATATTATATCTAACAAATAGTATATAAATTCTTATATATTTAAGTGTTGTTTAATCTAATATTTGATCTTCTTTTTTGTATATTTATCTAACTATTACATATTTCAGAATATGTTATCTGACTGTAAAGCTCTAAAAGGTTTTTTATTAACTAGATTACTTATTTTTTATAAGATATTAATAGGTCTTGTCTTTGCAAAGTTTAACCAAACCTTAATATTAACTTCATAACATATTTCTAGTATTTATAATATACCTCTGCTTTGTTATTTAATTTTCAATTCAAATAGTTTAGTAAGACTATAACCTATCTTTAATATACTAAGTCTGATTAATATCTTTTTCTTCTAATTCAAGACTTCCAATGACCTAATTGATAATATTTTTTATTTGAAATTTCTGCTTATCTAATTTCTTTATATTGATATCTGTTCTTTAAATTTAGTCTTTACAGTAATATTGTCAATAATCTGTATTATCTCTTTACTTGAATCTTTTCAAGCAAGCTTCAGTTTCTTTAATTCTACAAATTTATATAATTACAAAAACCTATCTTGAATTTGCATCACTTGATACTGATTTGTATCTTTTTGTATAAACAAGATTACACAAATGCCTCTTGATCTACTTGTCATACTGGTGTATTATAATTACTTATATCCTAATGTTTATTTTAATAAGTTTTTTATTAATTTTATAATTTTGCTACTACAGTCAACTCTCCCAAATCCGAACCCTTAATAAACTCTGTAAAAACCAAACACAAAACTTCAGAACATTTGTAAATTTTATTAAAAAGTTCGGATTAGCAACATAATAACTCTTTGAAAACTGAACTTTTTGATATTTTTGCATATAAGAACGGACCATTCGGAATAGAGAGTTGATCGTATTTAATATTTTTTTAAAAAAATAATTTTACTATCAACAAAACCTACTTTACATACTTACAACTTTTACTTAAAGATTAAAAATTAATTAATATTTTTTTCAAAAAATTAAATATAAAAAAAAATTGCAAAAATTTGCAACTAATTATATATAAAAATGATCAACGTTAACACATTTTTATAAATAACATTAAATTTGAATTTTGGTTTAACAAATCATTTAATATTATTTGGATTTCGTTTGTGCTATTATCACGGTTTAGTTTTTTCTACAGAAACATTTATTTATTTATGATAATTTGAGGGAAAAAAAAATAGAAACTGCTGAAGAAGTTCGGTAATTAGTAATAAAAATACCCTGATCCATTGGGTACTAGTGGAAACTTAGTTTCCACTTATACACATATGGTCAGGGTATTTTTGCTAAATACCCCGTGATCTTGATGTGATCGGGTATTTTAGCTAATAATAGCCGACCAGTTTCATTTAATAGTTTTAATAATTATCAATTATTGTGCAATAGTAGAATCTAGTGCACTTTAATTAGTATCGATATGTATCACTTTAGACAAGTTTATCTTTAAATAAAGCAGATAGCCGTTTAAATGAGTTAAATGATTATCGTTATATGTTAATAAGAAATTTATGATAAATAAGAAAATAACAAGAAATTCAATATTTAATTTCAATATCGCCTTCAGCAGGTGCATCCAGGTCAACATAAGATTTCACCTGGCGAGGATCCGAACCCGCGTTAAGATCACTTAACATACAAAATATATCTTATTTAATTATTGTTTTTAATATTATAAATCATTTAAACTATATTCTAAAGAAAACTTACTTAGGTCTAGATGGTTGTCTTCTTGAATCAGAAGTTTGTCTGGAGCCACGTTCTCGGCTATCGTCTCTTCCATCAAATCCAATCCTTGGAATTTGATCATGAGGAGTTCCAGCAGCAGCGCTCATAATAGGAAAACTGAAATTCATGAACGGTGGGGGTGGCGCATTAGCCATAACCGGAAATGGGTTAGGTGGAATGGGTGTAACGCTTTGAGGGACAAGTGCAGCAGTAGGATTAGGTGGAGTTGTAGGAAGAAGGTGGTTTGGATCAAGAACGTAATTATTATAAAATTTCGCCTAAGAATATCATTAATATATTATTATAAATTAGTAACTTTGAAAAATATTTAATGGCAAAGTAATGACTCACATCATTCATCGTCGTCTCGACAGTACTATGATGTTTGTAATCAATGTGCTTCTTAACAAAATCTGCGCCTTTAAACAATTTACTACATAGGTTGCATTTGAACTTACGACCGGGCTCAACTTCATTAATATTTTCATTGTAAAAATTTTCCAAAACCCTAAAATGTATATTAAATCAGTTCATCAAAGTTCAATGTTGGTTTCAAGTATGAAGTAATATGAATCTTAATACATACTGTTTAATATTTAGTCCACCATTCTTCTCAACTTCGTTTTCATATTTCAATGGTTCTGTTTTGTAGTTAATTTTATTATCTAAAGTTTTCAACCACGTTGTAGCTATTTTCAAATGACATATAAGAACCGGAGTTAATAAGATATCCAAAATTAAAAAATCGACAAAATAAAGCTTACCGTTAATCTGTTTTTCTTTTAATGATTTTCCGGCAGATTTCACATCATTGCTTCCAGGTAAACTCCTTAGATGACGTCCAGGGCATTTTCTGTTAAGTTCCTCAACAGAATCCGATTCACAACCACAATAATAACAAAAAAGATGTGTTCTGCGTAAATATTCAATATGAATATCCAATATTCTCTTAACCTAACCATTATTTAAATTATAATTGTTATTCAAATGTTTTTCATATTTTGATGATAAACTGAGAACCTACGTTATTTATTTCTTCACGCCGATGGCCATCGTCAATTAATATGAGTCTTTGTTTGATATGCTGACTTCCGGTCATTGTGTTATCAACATCTTTATCAAGCTTCTCTGAAAGCTTAATGGCCATTTCCAAATCTTTTTTCAACCTTTCAAGAGTATTAGCAGCGTCCGGAGTGGTTCGATTACGAACGGGTCCAGTTTGATTTTTATGGCGAGCCAGGTAAAAAACGAATTCGTCAATCTAAGAAAAACATACGTGAGATTTTATTTTTGGTTTATTTTGTTTTTTAAAAAAAAGATGAAACTTCATCATCTCATATTCGCAATATTTTACCTTCTGTTCATTTAGTTTTTCATATGCTGCGTCCATATCAGATCCTTCTTCAAAAACAATCCATCCCAGACGATGAAATTTTTTTTGAGGATTAGGTTCAGATAAAGCAAGATATTTGAACCCGGGAATTTCTTTGCACATCTTTATATTAATAGTAAGCATAAATTAAACCGAAAAATTGTGAGCTTCATGAACACGTAAACAAATTACACATACTTCTTCTATTTTTTGTCTGGAAATATTGGGTGATACACTCTTTATAAAAAGTCTATTAGCATCTTCGTCCTGTTCGGTTTTGTCTGCAGTGGATTCTATTAAAAACAGGTAAAGTTATTGAATGAAAAAGGAAATTCACAAATACCTACTATAAACATACCATCTGTCTTTGTATCTTCTTTATTTTCTTCTACATCATTAACAATATTATCTAAAAGACCTCTTTTCAAATCTGTGATAAAATTTTGATAATTTTTCTTTTTTAATTCCTTAGTTGCTGCTATCCTTGGCTCCATATACTTTGGATGATATTTTTCAAGAAACCATTCTTCCTTTTTATGGGCCTCAAAAAAGGTTTTCAATTGTTTAATACCAAAAGCTTCTTTATAGTCATTATATTTTTTATGTAAGTCATCATCAGTGTATCGTGTTTTTTGATTTGACACCTGAAGGAATTCGGCATAATACTTGAATGTCACCAAAAAATCAAGTTGATCGGGGTCCTTCAGTGGTTCTTGTCTATAAAGGATAATGCGTATATAAATTAAGCGATGCTCGATATATATACTTAATCTATATAACTTGAAACTTTACCTTCCAGGACCCGTCCAATCCATTGCCATGAGAGGTCCGCCCGGGGGTATAATTTGTGGCGCTGGCCCTACGTTAAATCCTTAATTATTTTTTAGCAATTAAATGTTTAACCAATTTTGTCATGTATATTATGATGAGATTGTAGGTTAAAAATCAAAAGTCATGTATGCGTACCAAGTGATAAACCGACTGGGAACCCATGCGGTGGAAATCGCATGTCCCCTGGTCTGCCAACGTATCTTGGGGCAGGTGTATAACCATCCTTCTCATAATTAGGAATGTAATGGTCTCCTTCAAGTTGTTGTGGCCTCCTTGAATCGGGCGATATGGACCGTCTCCTTTTAGAACGTCGATCTGAATAGTTCGCTGTATCTAACAAGTGTCAAGGTTCATAAAAAAATGAAGCTTTAATGTCTTCATAAGTTTAAAGAACGGTTTGAAACATTAAATATAAAAAATAATTAATACCTCTATCTTCTGGTGACGAATTATTATCTCTTTTAACGCGCCTTTCATTATAGATTGACCGATCCCTGTCTCTGTCTCGTTCTCTGTCTCGTTCTCTGTCTCGTTCTCGGTCTCGATCCCGATCTCGTTCGCGATCACGGTCACGAGTGTCTCTACGATCAAGACTACTTCTACGTTCACGCGTAAATTTATCACGACTGTGGTGAGTGCCTTCGTCATCAGAATGGTCCATTCGCCGTTGTTTAGAGCTCATTTTAGCGTTGAGATGTATGCAATAAGAGACTCGTGACTTCTAGCAGTATAAAGACGCAAGGAGTATTTTTTTTGTAGAACAAATAATCTCGTTCTACACAAAAATATAACGAATCCGTGTCAAAAAAAAGTGAAAAAATGGTAAGATTCTCATGTTTGTCATGTGCTTTGAGTTTCGTTTTCTATCTTGAAGGTTGGTGATTTGATTAATGTTAAAAAAAAACCGGTGGAATGTCGCATTGACAAGAAAGGAAAGTTTATATATATAGAAAAGTGTCTAAGAAGAACGTGAATATAATATGAGTTTCGTGTTTAATCAGTGTTTAAACTAGAGTAGTTCATATAAAAGTTTTTAACGAGACCAATATGACCAGTAAATTCAAACGAGTTTATGATGAGCAAAAAGTTTTTTGACAAGTACAGTTTCTTCCTGAGATTATTGTTGGATCTTAATGATTTTTTTTTTTATGGTTCACGAACATTTTGTGTATCAAACAAGCTATGAGTGCGGTTTTCTTATACAATTGTTTAGGCTCCCAGAGAAGGTATAAGTTTTTGATGAGAACGTAGATGGACTCACTCACCAGATCTGTATCTAAGTCAAACAAGTCGACTCTTACTCTCTACAATAGTTTATTCTGCTTCACATATCATATACGTAGCCACTAAATAACTGGACCAATCATTCGGTAGCGTGGATTTCACACAATTATGTTACACGACATTCAAAGCTCTATCGCTATGCTGTGTAATGTAATATGTATAATTAGTCAGAGCGCAGACACAAAACATATCTTTTACAGGGGTTCGAAAAGTACTTATCGTTATTGGTCAAATAAATTAATACACCAAATGTCCTATGATACTGAAAGCCTATACTCGGTTTTTCCAGTAACTTTGTAAAGCAATATATTTTTTAAAAAAATATTCTGTACGTATGTGTTTTAAAAAGGAAATTGATATTTATAGAAGTTTTTCGTATTGTTTGCTTGAAGCCGTTTTAAGACAAAGAAAATTGCAGATTTAGTATTATTTGCTTGATGTAAAATTGCCTGTATTTTTGCTTTCATTTTCTTCTTTAATTTCAATTATTTCACCAACATGAAATTTAAGCCAATTTGATTTTATCATTTTCAATAATATTATAAGACATATAATCAAAAAATTCTAACTTAATATTAAAAAAAGTACTTTATTTTTAATTTTTTTTAAGTTAAAGTTTCTGCCTATGTGTTTATGAGACACAGGTATCTCCGGGGGCATAGAAGATTACAACTAGTCACATGGTGTCTAATTTAAGTAGTCCGCTTATACATTACTATACAGGTTCTACTCTAGATGTTATACTTGCAAGCCAACTACGGGTTTTGTTATTTTTAAACTCTTTGCATATACAATCCATCTTATATCATAGAGGCATTTTCAAGATTACACTCATCCAAAGTAATTAATACATATCATTATCTTAGGATTTCTTTATTCTTAATATGAAATTTGTTGGAATTTTTTATATTCTATATGCAGTTGATTTAGTTTTATGTAACATATTATACTTAAACTAATACTTGCAGTTACAGTTATTATTTATTAAATATTATATTACATTAATTTTACTCTTATAAAGTTTATTAAAATCTCAATATTTATTTTTTTAATATTTTCTTTATTATTTTTTATTAAGTTCTTTTACTTAAAATTAACAAAATTCTTTAAACTACTAATTCAATAACCTAACATAGTATTTTTTTTCTTTAATAAATTCTAGTAATCTGATTGATTATATGTTACACTAGGATTTAGGGCATAGGCATAGGGCATGTTCTTTAGTGCATGCCTTATAGGTATACCATATAGTTAAAAAGCATGTCTATACTAAATTTACTTGTAATTATATATAATAATCAATTAATTAAATTATATAATTTTCAAAATCATCAGAACACTCTTTCTGATGATCATTTGAACCAAACTTTTCAAAAAACTGAACTACAAAAAAACGATATAGTTAATATATTAAACTTTATAAAAACTTTTCCAGAGTACTGTACATATATAGTTGAACATTGAAATAGAGTTAAAAAAGAAGTTGGAGCTTTGTGGTGATGGTTTAAATGCATTTTGAAACTATAAAAGAAGTAGTTGGTAAAAGCCAAAGTTTTTTATAAAATAAATAACAAAGTTGGATATATTAGTTCTATACAACTGTAAAGCCTACAAGGAACATCTATAAAGGTTAAAAACTCACAAAAACTACAAAGTTGGTTCACCTTTCGCCTTTACTTTGTTTCAAGAAAATTTTGTAAAAGTGGATGATTTAGCTTACCCCTTTCTAAAGATCGACACATAAAACTACTAAAACAGTCAGCAGTGTTTACTTCCTAAATGAGTTTATTGATAACGTAGATTAAAACAAAACAGTAATACAAATATGACTATATACATGTCTCGAAATACTCTAAAACCTGAAAATACTGTTTTCGGACTAACTAGTGCTCTATACTAACCCTTTATGATCAAGTTGAAGATTTTTTTCTTTCCTATATGGTTTTTTGTTAAATAATCTAAGTAAATAGAAAAATAGTAAAGTTATTTCTATTTAATATAGTTTATAATTTTTAAAAACCTAACACAGGCATACAATTGTAACTGTCTGATATTTGTGAATTGCAAGTTTCACACATTTTTTTTTTTCTTATTTATTCCCTTTTCCTTTTTATTTCTTGATTTGTATTCTTTATCATTTACTCCTATACCTTTGTTTTGTTTTTTATATAAAAAATTCTTTTTTTTTGTTTTTTGCTTCCTTACAAAAAAATGTCATCAGATTAGTGATATCTTATTGTAGGATAGCAGTCAGACAAGCAGTCTATCTCTAACTAGGATAGTGTGGCAGGTTGTATTTAGGTACCATTTGGGTGATCAAATAATACTAGACTTATATATCAGGAAAATTCTATATAATTTGTATAGTTTCAAGAATCCTAATAAAGTACTAGTGTGACTGCTAAAGTTAAAAAAAAAAAAAATTATATAATTTTTAATATTATTAAAAATAAAAAAATTTTATATAAAAAATTTATAAATTAATAAAGAATCAACTTTTTTAATTTATAATTTACAAATACAAATATTAAACAAATTTAAAAATTATACTAATTTAACTACTGTAATATAAGAGTACCAATTTAATAATAAAACAAATAAGAGGTATAGTAACTTAGTAAAGTAGATAAGTTGTCAACTCTTCAAGTAGTAGGTAATGAGTTTAAAACCTACTGATAGTAAAAATTTGAATAATCTTCTATGTAATACATAAATGATATTATGATAATAGTATTTTGTCAATCAGTTATAATAAGATACTTAAACTATAGTTGCATCAATATGACTAGCAAGTTATAGAACATCTGCACAATGTTAAAGTTATTTAAAAGAATACAAATTAGCATTAGATAATGCAAATCCAAGATAAGTTCTTGTGATTATATAAATCTGAAGAATTGAAAAACTGAAGTCTACTTAGAAAGACTTAAGTAAAGAGATAGCACAGATTTTTAATAATACTACTATAAAGACTAAACCTAGAAAATAAATATCAATGTAAGAGAAATCAAGTGAACAAGAACCTCAGATGAGAAATATTACCAATCAGACTACCAAAAGTCTTGAACTAAAAGAAAAGAATTTTAAAAAACAGATTCTTGAGATACTAAAAACAGGTTATAGTCTTTTCAGATTATCTGAATTAAGAGTCTGAGAATCAAAACAAAATATAGCTAAGTATTAGAAATATGTTGTAAAGTCAGTACTAAGGTCTGGGTAAACTTTACAAGAATAAGCTCTGTTAGCAAAGATTAAATATAGGTAGTTAGTTAGCAAAAAAGCCTTCTAGAGCTCTACAGTCAGATGATATATTCTGAAATATGTAATAACTTGACAGATATACATATAGGAAGGTCAAAGTACAGTTAGACAGCACTATTTAGATATATAAGAACTTGTATACTATCTGCTAGTATAGTATAGAAGTCATCTTATACAAGTTATATAATTATAATTGAATTTACAATAAAGACAGTAGCTGTTAATAACTAACAGCCTTAATAAAAGCAAAAAAAAAATAAAATACTAAATATACTAAATATTTAGATTTATAAAAAAAACTAGTATCTAATAAATTAATTTTTATTAATCTAATATGCAAGATATAAAAATATTAATATTTATTTAATTAAATAATAATAAAAGTTTTTTATTAAGTAAAATTTAAGTTTTTTATTTTTTTAATATGTTTTAGTTATTTTTTCTGATATTTAGTATTTATATCTAAATTTTATAATAATTAATAATAAAATATTTGCTTCTTGAAAAGACAGGAGTATATTAAAACTACTAGAGTTATGCTGTAAAGTAAATGCTAAGATTTAAGTAAACTCTACAAAGACATAGCAGTTTAATGATTAAGCTTTAACTGCAAGTGTTAGTTCTGCTATAATGATATCTATATTAGTTATAAAAATAAATACAGAAGACTCTGAAGGGTTTACTTCAAGGATAAAATAGTCCTAAGGTTGAAATAATAATCTAGACATCAGGTATAATCTAGTAAAGTTAACAGGTTTGCAGGTTCAGAAGATTTAAAATGAAATATTCAAGCAGAGGTATTAGATATAACAATTAATAAAGAACTTTTAGGTAGATTTCTTAAATAGGTAATATAGAATAATTATATATGTAACCAATTGTATGCTCTTCTTGTAGTAATTCACTGAATTATATTTATTATTATTAAATAAAGTTAAAAGATCCAAGAAGTTATTTTAATACTAAAAAAAAAAATATTTGCTTCTAAGTAGAATCTTCTAAGTTACTAATTATTTTTAATTATTGTTAAATAGTAAATATTGATTTTTTTTTGCAATTAAATTATTTTAATTTATAAAACAAAAGTGTATCTTATTGCTAACTTCGAGATTCTCTAATTTTTTTTAGATTATATTA